ACTTCCTGTCTGTTCCCTATTGGTGGTTGCTGTTGTCCTCTGAAGGTGGGCCATCACTGAGGTCCTTATGCTCCCCTTGTGGTTCCTAGGGGTTGGTGGTTCCACTTTGTTGCTAAAAACAGCCCCCAGAGGAAGTCTGGTGCTGTTGAAATGGCTAGTGACGTCCTCCCCAAGTGTTTCCCTGCAAGAGAGATCCGGACCAGGCTCCTGTCCTGCTCCCTGGCAAGACTTGGTTTTGCATTTGGAGCTCAATGGGCTATTCGGAAACATTCTGAGTTTAACTTTGTACTTAGTTTCAACAAAAACAAGGCAAATGCATAATTAGCATTTTAACAATAAATAAATTAGAACTTGAGATTGCTATAACAATATACACTGTTAGAAGAAGAATTGAAGAACGCAGTCTAAAAATAAAGTCAAAACCATAAACATACTCTCTTTTCTCCCTGGAAATCAAAAACACACCAATGGCTTTATGACAAAGGAGGAATAATGAAAGGCACCGAAAACTTTTCTCTCCACCTAATAGTGGGAAGGTACTTATGTGGACTTGGATGGGGAACAGTTGTATCCTCAACAATAAACTTGCCCTAAAAGGCTTGATTATTAGTTCCACTTAAAAAAAGCAACATCAACAAGGATAAATGTAAAACGGATGTTAGGAGATTTTAAAAAGCTGCGACCTATGAAAACGAAGTAGGCATTTGCAAAAACACTGTTCCAATCAACAGAATTGTTTCCTTCAGAAAAACTGTCAGATGCCCCCCATACTCTGTCCTGGCACATCCTGGAAATTGTCTTTCTTCCTGTGGGACATGGTGTTGTTCAAACGGTTCATGAAGCCTGTCATGCCCTAGAAAATTCTGAGTGTCATTGTGGAATAATCAGCCTCAGATTTAATGTTACAAATTTTCCAAGTCCTGTTGCAATTAAAAGAAATTCAGGGCCAGTGGCAAAAGTCTTGGGAGTCCACACTGATATAAAGTGGACCCCAAGGGACGGGAGCCCATTGGACCAGGGGTTGGCTCCCACCAACCCCTGCATTGGCTTAGACCATTGGAACTCCTCATAATCCAAACACTTAGACTCCGTGGAACCATAGATCAGGAGCAGGTATTAAGCTGTGTTTTGAGTTTCTCTGACATATTCCATGGCAATTTAGCTTGGGGACTGAATGTCCCAAGAAACAAAGTATAAATACCCAAACAAAATAAGTCCAGAATTCCATGAAGTGAGATGATCCACATTCTGAAAGACTCTTCTATCTTAAATGCTTTATAGGAGAAAATAGATTCAGAGCACAGATATTGGAAGTATTTTAAAATTTGGAAATGTATTTGGAAAAAATATGTGTGTGTGTGTGTGTGTGTTTACCTGCACATACAGAAGCTTGAATGCTAGCTCCTCTTCCCTTTCTAGGGTGAATATGAAAATGACATTCATCTTGTAATGAACTGAATTTTACTTTTTCCTGTATTGTCTTCCCCCTTCCCTATGCACTGGGCCTTGATGCTCACTTTGGGAGGAGCTTTAGAAAAATTATTGTGCCCAATTAAGATCCAAGGAGGCACACTTGGGTATATTGAGAGTTCTTGTAACTTGGAGTTGAATTAAAAAAAAAAAGTAGAAGCAAATTTGTAGAGGGGGGGGAAAGTTCCTATGGCAAAAACCAAGCTAGGGACTTAGAAGCAGGCCAAGAGGACCAGGGAAGACAAGCAGGGCACACTCAAGCCAGAGCTCGTTAAATAGAAATGGGTCTGAGGGAAGAAGAAAGCAAACTAACTGGAAAAACAGAGGGACTGTACATCCACAGGGCTTTGCAGCCAACTCTCAGTGTTTGGAAGCCGATCACAGGAATTTGGAGCTGGAAGGGAGCTTAAAGATCCCCAAGTCTAAGTGCTTTCCTGTTGCAGATGAGGAAACAGGGTGGAAGGCTTTGTCTAAGGTCCCTGCTAAATCAGAGCAGAAGGAGGCTTGGGCCTGGGGCTCCCCATTCTCCCCAGGGGAGGCTGGAGGCTCCCCTGGGGTGGGCAGGATCTAATTTCTTATAGGTTTGTGCTTCCCTGCTCATTGAAATATCACTAGGAAGTGACAAGGGAAATAGAGGTAAACCAGATTTAAAAAACAAAACTAAAGTGGCAAGGTAATAACAACCAGCATTAAGATATACAGCAAGAGTCCCTCAAAGCTGGTTGTGCATAGAACCACCCAGAAAGCTTAGAAGGAAATGCTATGATAGCCTCCGTATCAGACAAAATTGAAATCAATGTGAGCGAAGCTCTGACACATGCCATTGGAAAAAGCTCCCAGATGATCTAAACATGTACCCAGAGTTGGCAAAAAAGTTCCAGGTTGAAATCTGCAAGTGGCCCTGTGACTTGAGATAGGTTGCTTAGCCTCTCTGAGCCTCTCCTTATTCATAAGTGAAATGGAGCTGATGAACCATGTCTTCTAAGGTTACTGAGAGATTGGATGAGTATATGTCCCACCTGGCACAAACTAGTTATTTATCATTAAGTGCTTCCTTATGAGAACCTGGACCTCAGAGATCATTCTCAACAATTCACACTGACAGCTCTCGATTTTCCATATTAGGTGATGGGGGAGAGCGTGTAGCCACTGCGTTACCGTTTGTATATGAGGTGTCCCCCAAAAGTTCATGTGTGAGACAATGTGAGAAGGTTCAGAGGGGAAATGATTAGGTCATGAGATCCTTAACGAATCAGAGAATTAATCCCTGATGGGATTAACTGTGGGGACTGGAGGCAGGTGGGGTGTGGCTGGAGGAGGTGGGGCATTGGGGGAGTGGCTTTGGGTACATATTTGTATCTGGCTAGTGGAGTCCTTCTTTCTGCTTCCTGAAACGTTTCCTCCTACATCATAGTTCTGGTTGGCTCTTTCAGTCACAGCAGCAAAAAAGCTGACTGAAACACACTGCCAAAGTGACACGTAGTCCACTGTCAAAGCCACCTCTCCTGAAATTCTGTTGGGTACTTGGAGGAGCAGAGCCTCCTGGCTGGTATTAGGGGGTACAGCAGGGATTCCCAGAGTGTGACTGCATGGTGGGTGGTACACGAGCCCAGCCATGAATGGCAGAGTCACAGAGATAAAGGTCTTTTTAGTGGTCTTTCAGTGCTTCTGCTGTTATGAAGGACATTGTAGGTGCTTAGTATCGATGCTTAAGCAGAAGTGTTCTCAGGCCTTCTGACTTAGAATTTAACATGTTTCACTTTCTTTCTGCTTATGTTTAAGGTGGCCTTTTATTTATGGCAAATGATTTGGTTTTCCATTTATAGTGAACTTCTGCAGAGAAAAATGTATTGACTTAAACCTCCTAATGCAGGAGTGTGAAGCAGGTGGGGCCCAAGTCAGGGTGCTGCAAGATTGCTGGTCTGGGATTCCAGAGCTCCTGTTTTGGCTCACCTGAGCCTTCCCCTGGAGCAGGAACACACCCTTTCTGGGCCCCAGTTTCCAAAACTCTTAAAATAAAATCTATACACTTGACAATGTGGAAGATTCTTTCCAATTTAAGCATGTCTGATATTCAAATTCATCGCAGTTTGGCCTTTTGATGAGTTTCAATTATCAAAGAAGAAAAAAGAACTCCATAAAGAAAGAAATGGAAAGGATATTAAATTTTTCTGTTTCTTTTCCCATTGACAAACTTGGTGGTTACTGGGTCCTCAATATATTGAGTTTTTTTTTTTTTTTTTTTGCTGATAGCTGTGCTCTTCGATGAGATTGCTACTCTTGCTGATAGCCCTGATTCATTAGTTTTAAAGTCTGTTGTGATCTGGCTGATTGCAGACACTCAGGTGTAACGCCCAAGCCAGGTGCATTTTTTGTGTGAATTTCCCAGGTAATTAGATCGGTGGTTTATTGCTAGGTTAGCATATTTCTTTCTTTTTAGCCCTCTCGGGAAGGCTGAAAATACAGGACAGACTCTCCCCCTGCACAGAGGTAGTAAAACATTAATTGGTATAAAACAGCATTTCTTTGGTGTTTTGGATACAAAGATGGCAACAGCACTCTGCCAGTCACACCTAACTGTGAGTTTTGGTCTGTAGCACACGGATGCCCACAGTGTGGGTTGAGATGGCTTCAGAGCTGATGAGCCAGGACATAAAGGATGTGGAGGGAGGTGTTTTTTTGGTCATTCTTTGAGGTTGATGCCCACTGGAAAGGGCAGGGCCCAGGACGAGGCAAGCAAGGTGCCCCTGGCACTAAATTCAAGGAGGCTACAGAGGTTCCTTCAAGTTCCTCCCCAAGACCTGGCCCTCTGGAAGCTCTCTATATACGGGGGCCTGAGCTGCCTCTGAGCCTGGTCTGGAGGGTGGAAAACGAGTTGTTACGTCCAGTCACTGTCTCTCCTGCTGTAGGCCTCACCGCTGGGGTCTATGGCCGGTTTTCATCTTCGCTGCAGGCCGCTCTCCACCACCACTCCCCCAGCTCCTCTCTCAGGGCAGCTCCTGCATGCCTGTGTCCCCTGCTGTGACTTTCTACCTCCTGTTCCCTGGATGAGAACATAAATGAGCCTGGGACATGGGAGTTGTGGGGATGTCAATTCGACTCTCCCCTTCAATGAGTCTTGTGGTGCAGCTGTGGTCCTAGACCCTTTCTGGTTCATTTCTTTACGTAATCTGTCTGATATCACTACACCAGCCTCAGCAAAGGGGAATCCAGGCTCAGAAAATAACCTGGTTTGCCCTCAAGTGCTAGTGGTCTTCTGAAATTGGTGATTTTTACATGCTCCCATTCTGCAGAAAGATTTTGGTTTTCTAATGCAGGAGAAATATTGGGGAGATTTCTCAGAAGGTCAAAGTGTTTGGAATTGATGTACAGCTTCCCCTGATTAAGGTTGGGCAAACACTGCCTGCCTAAATGCTATAATTCTTGGGATCACAAGTTTGTTTTTTTTCTTCTTCAAGTACTAGGGATTGAACCCAGGGGTGCAATATCCCCAGCAATTTTAAAATTGTTTATTTCCTATTTTGCAACAGGGTTTTGCTAAGCTGTCCAGGTTGAGCCTCAAACTTGGGATCTTCCTGCCTCAGCCTCCCAAGTAGCAGGGATTATAGGTATGTACCACCATGCCCCGTTTATAAGGGATTTTAAAGAATATCGGAGTCTGGAGGTGAACACTCAGATAAGAATTGATCTCAAGACAGGTCATCTATGGACCACGGAATTTTAGGCAGCCCTGTAAAAGCAAGTGGGAATCCTTGGGACTGGAGCTACAAGTAGATCCATGAATGCTATTCAGTGGAATATCCTAGTAACAATGGGAGGCTCTGGGCATGAGAATGAAATGTGGAAACATTGAATTGGGGAAACAGAGGGTCTATCAGCAATTTGTTCACTCACTCATTCATTCACTAACTCATTTGAAAATATTTAGTGAGTATCTAATCAGTTCCAAACATTCTCAGCTCTGGATACACTGGGAAACCATCAGATAAGAGCATGGCTCTCCTGCAGCTGAAGCTGAGACGCTTTGACACTTAAAGTAGAGCAGAGGAGAAATGAGAAGGGAGACCAGGAAGGAATGGCCAGGCAAGTGGCTGCAGCGACAGGAGGGAACCCTTTAGGGAAGCCTGGAGAACAAGGGAGAGCAGGCTAATAGCCTTGTCTGAGGGGACATGAGCCTGAGGAGAGGGAGCCGTCAGGACGTCTGGTGCCCTGTCAACTTCCACCCTGACAACCTACAATGTTCCCTCTTCAGCTCTTTCTCAAGCTTCACTAATGCCGTTCACAGACCGACTGGGCAAATGATGCTCCCGACAATAAGGAAGCAGCACATTGTCTGCTTGTGACAATGTGGGGCTCTTGTGGCAGCCTCCTGGGGGTCCAGCATTATCAACCACGGTTAACAGGAAGCATCTGAAGATGTGTTCTTATTTGGGGTCAAAGTGGATCTGAACGCCATCCATAAACGTGCAGCACTGTGAACAGAACAGCGGATTCCTGAAATGATGTATGTGTCTGCCAGGATCAACCACGGGCCCTGCCAGATCCTTGTGGGAGATGAGATGCCAGAGAGCAGCCTGTCAAACAAAGAAAAGCCGAAATGGCAGCACCGCCTCCCATGGCAGGAAATGTAGAAAATGTTCCTTGGAATCCAGCTCCCCTTTGTGTAATCATGACAATACCGAGATACCAACCCATTTGCTCCTGAGAATAATTACGAGTAACATGCGTGTAATCCTCAAGAGTTTATCAAGTGCTCCCGTGGGTGTTATCTTATTGATTGTGTTCGCACTTGGAGTGTGTGGACAGCCCGGGTGAGGAGTCCTCAAGTCTTCGTATGTCAGCTTGCTTAAGTGGGTCTGTCTCCTTTCCAAAGTGGAGCCATGGAAACTGTGGCAGCCACTAGGATGCGGCGGTGTCCTGCCTTTAAATGACTTGCCTCCCAGCAGTCTCGGAAATGAAAAATTACTCGGAATCCCCATTGTAGGAAATTTCCCATTTTCCCCTTTATATTTTGAGTTCTCCAAATTTTTGGAGATAAGCATGGACTACCTTTGTAATCAGAAAAAACAAAATACTTATAAAATCCAGGGAAGCATGCATTTGAATGGTACCCCGGCTGATGAGATTTGCCTCCCAGGGCAAGCCTGGCCTTGGGGATTGGCTGGCTGCTTTGGCCAAGCTTCCTGAACCAGAAGAGTCATCGCATTTTTGAACTGGGGCCATCGAGAACTTCTAGTCACCCCCTTAGCACACCAGCCAGTGTGCAGAGAATGTAACCAGCCAGAAGCTGTGTCCTACTTCTCCAAAATAGATACTTGGAAAGCTCTATGCCCGCAGAGGGAAGCCAAAGATATTGATCCCTTAGCTGAAGTGAGATGAATTCTGGACATGTTCTTTTCTCTTTGCAGTAGTTCAGTTTTTATTAAATAATATGAACTCCTTCAAGGAAATATGGTGAGTAAAAAAAGGAAAAATATTCTATTTACAATATGTCCACTAAACATGATCACAAAATCTCTCCACAAGTCTTTTAACATGTAAGTGGGTTGGGATTTTTTTTTTCCATAGTGGTACATATATTTATTTGGACTTCTGAGATTTCTTTTCCACAATGATCTTTTTGAATAATTGAGAGTAAACATTCATTATAATTTTTTTTTTCTAACTGGATATGGAACCCACAGCCTTTTGCATGCTAAGCAGAGGCTTTGCCACTGAGGTTCTTCCCCAACCTATCATTATAAAAAATTTAAGACTTTTCCATGGTGAAGGAGAGACATTTCCCATAGCCTCCAACAATTTTTGTAGGTCATTAGTGCAGGGGTGGTTCTCTGAACTAACTGCCCTTTTATAACATGACTTCTTTGTTCTGAGTTTCTGACTTTAATTGTAATCTTGAAAGAAGGGCACACAGAACTGGGGATGTATGCCTAGCTTGCATGATCTCCAGATCCCCAGCACCCTGGAAGGGCACATAGGTGATATATCACTCTTTCCTCTCAAAGACGTCCTTTCTATTTCATTACTTGGAAAGATAACTTCCCTGGGTACAATTTTCTTGCTTTATACTTTGTCCTCTTCAAAATGCAGCACTCATTGCTTCATTATTATTCTTTTTTAAGCATTTAATATTAAAGACTATAACATCAGCCAGAATTTTATCCTGTGTGTAAACTGATTTTTTTGTTGTTGTTGTTTATAAACATGTAGTTTTTAAAACTTTATCCTGGTGGTCCTATTTTTTTTTTTTTTTTTTTGAGGAGTTCATGCTATTTTTTTCCCCATGGGTTTTCTTGGAATGTGGTGAGATGTTTGATCAACATATATTTCTTTCCTTCTCTAGAGGAAGGTTTTCTTAACTGTTATTTTGAATATTGTGTTTATATACTATGTTTTTATTGGGTGCAACAGGATGCCCTGGAGTTTCTTACTTATTCACATTTCTCCCACTGCTGTGAGGGCATCATTGATGCCAGAAGACTTAAGGAAAGCATCAGAAATGGAATCAAGACTGCTATGGATGGGAAAGACAAACTTTGGAAACAGAGAGAGAGAGAGCTAGGGGACGGGAAATGTATATGCTAAGGTAGGCGGATCCAAGTACCAATAGGAAGTCTAGAAATGCAGTTTCTCCTCCAATAGGAGGTCAATTTGTCTTTTCATCTGCAGGTTGTAGGCAATTGATAAGAGGCACCAAAAACATCAAAAACCAAACTGGCACCTTCCAAAATAATAACAAAAAGAGGACCTTTTTTTTTTTTTTTTTTTTTTTTAAAGAGAGAATGTGAGAGAGAGAGGGAGAGAGAGAAAGAGAATTTTTTAAATATTTATTTATTTATTTATTTTAGTTTTCGGCAAACACAAACATCTTGTTTGTATGTGGTGCTGAGGATGGAACCCGGGCCACACGCATGCCAGGCGAGCGCGCTACTGCTTGAGCCACATCCCCAGCCCAACAGGACCATTTTTAAAGTCTGACCTGCATTATGTATTTTTTATATTTTATATTTTCTCTCTTCATTTTAATTTTTGTTTGAATACTAGAATTACTGAACTTTGAGCTTTATATTATTGAATAATTTCTTGCAATGTCAAGTATGCTTTATAGTGCCTTTACTGTAGTTTTACATACCATTATTGCTTTTCTAACTCTCCTGAAATATCTTCCAACTGACAATATCATGATATATAGTATATAAACATAATATATAAACATAGTATATAAACACAATATTCAAAGTGATAATTAAGAAAACCTTCCTCTAGAGAAGAAAAGAAATGTATGTTGGTCAAACATCTCACCACATTCCAAGAAAATCAGTGAAAAATAATAGCAGACACTGAACTCATAAAAAAATAGGATCAGCAGGATAAGGTTTTTATATATTGCATGTTTATATCACTATCACTATCCTGTTGACTTTTCACCTACTTACCTCTTAGTGAGGTTCCCTCTGCCTCAAGGAGGCTACAGGGTTCTCTGTTTAAATGAGAATCCCAGGCCATCTTTCCAGATTCTAGTTTTTATAATAAATATTTTTTCAGAAGTCTTTCCATCTTCTGACTTTTCATAATCATGTTCCTTCCCATTCCCATTCAACTTACATATTTTAAAAAAAATTTTTTTAGATGTTGATAGACATTTGTTTTATTCATTTATTTATGTGTGGTGCTGAGACTTGAACCCAGAGCCTCACACATGCTAAGCATGTGCTCTACATATTTTCAACAGGCACAACCCTAGCCCCTCAACTTACACATTCTTCACATTTTATTTTTCTTTTTGTTGGGTCATCATCTAGGAGGGATACTTGGGTTACTCTTGGTCTCACTCTTTGGTGCTGGTTATGTCTCTTTCTCAGTAGTCTAGTGAGATTTCATATACAGGTGACTGTTCAAGACTGAGATGGAAATTTCTTTCCGTATTTCCTGGCTCTGACATTCTGAAAAGATGGAATGTACAAAAATGAAAATGTCCAACACATAACTGTCACCAGAGCTCTCATTTCTCTGCTTTTTCCTGCCCTTTTGCAGCACATGATTTAGAAGAACAGTATCTCTTATGATGCTAAATGCTACTCTCAGTTTCTCTGTATTTCTTGACAAATAGCTTATTAAGGCTATGGTGTGATCAGTAGTTACTTGCTTGAGAGCCTCATAATCTGAGTTCTGTTTCCACAAGGTTTGTGATTCTGTCAAATCATTTCATGTCTTTGTAACTTCATTTTCCTAATGAAGATAGCAACAGCACTATTAACATGGAGTGTTTCTAGGTTTAAATCAGAGGAGGCTTGGAAAACACTTAGCACAGCATGTAGTAAATTTTAAATAATACCTGCTGTTGTCATTACTAATATTACCATTTCTGTTTTTGGATGGAAATACATAGAGTGGTATGGACTGGGGAAAGGGTCTGAGACAATACATTGATAACCTAAAAAGGAAGCACTCCTCTAGTGGAAAGTCAGCTGCCAATTTTGTGATTGGAGCAGAAGTTGTGTTCCTGAACCTTGGTAGACAAGGGGGATGTATTTTCAACCGGCACAGAACTGCTGAGTCACAAAGTAAGTTTTCCAATCTGCTTTGATCTATGTCTTAATTAGTAGAACTTTCTCAAGGACTCTGGCCCGAGTTTGCACATCCCACTTTTCTTCTTGCTGTGATGTTTCATCTTCTGGGTCTTCGTGGCATTTTTTTCCGGGAAGGCTGATGGTGATGTATCCAGAATTGTTATCCAGTTACAGATTCGAGCTGGAATATTCCAAGTTTGCTTCTTTACAGTTTTCAAATACAAATGGCCCAAATTAACCAGTTAGATACATGAAAACAAAATGCATTGCAGGGGTGATTCCTTTAATTCTCTGGAGTTGCTATAAGCAGTGCTGTTTTTATCCAGATTTCATGTGGTTCGATGTGTTCTCTAAGCCCAGCACGGTGGAACTTACTCCTTTGCTTCATTATCATGTTGATATTCTATCATTCTCATACCACAGCATAATGGAATTACATGTTTTGCATTCTTATGGACCTTTTAAACTACTTATTTATGTTTCCCACAGCAGTCTTCAGGATCAAGCACAGAAATGAATTCAATGCCCGTGGCATTGAGATTCAAATATATTTGAAAACGATGCTTGAACTCCACTGTATGATATTGTACTCCTGCTGAAACTATTGTTATTCTAAGGAAAAAAAAAAGTCTTGGGAATGTAGATTATCTCTTCGTATTATGGAAAGATATATCTTTAGTGGCAATGTTTTTGAGATAACCTCTATATGGCTCACCAGAGTTCATGTCCGAAGCTGCTGGATTTTCCTGTTGACACAGAATGCTGGGAGAAGCTTATTTGGTGGTGATGGAAAGAATAGTGTCCCAGTGGGTAGAGATGGTACTGTCCAGCCTGAGTTTTGCTAAGGCTGTATTCAATTACCCACTAATAAATTTAGCACTGACATGGTACTTCATTAAAAAATGTTTTCAGTTCTCTGAAAACTTCTCCTCAGACGTAGGTTGTTACCATTATCACCCTATTGTTCACAGAGTCTAGTGTAATTCCATATGTCCCGTGGGCATTTGGTTTCTTTAGTCAATTCATTTCCATTAATATTTACTGAGGTGACATTTGGTTGCTTGCGCCATGACAAATGGTGAGGGTCAAGTGCCTTATTCTGTGGTTAGGACACTGGGATATTCAGATATGCAGAGGATGCTTTTCTTTTGAGCATAATAAATACAAGGAAACAAGCCAATTAGCCATTCAAGTGAGTGCAGAGGATGCCAGAGACTTGTGGTTAGGTTACATAACGATGAGAAAGTCAAAAGAGTTACGGTTCTAAGGACTAAGACATGGGGTCATCCTTTAGGGATTTGTCTATCTTCAGATGTGCTCCTATTCATGGGGGATGTGTGAGCGCTATCTCTTTCTGATGATAAATAAGCCAGTGGAAAGTTAGACTCTAGTCTGAACTATAAGGACTCAATATGGCCAAAGATTTCTTTCAGCAATGCTATGCTGAGAACTTAAAAAGTTCATGTGACAAAACACAGCCTACCATCAGCTAGAGTTAGTGATGTCCTGGGAAACATTGCTTCATTCACCTGCAATCTGTGAATCTTAGGGGAAAGGCAAGTTAGGAAAAGTCATCAACATTTACATGGAGATAGTGTTAGAGATGATGCACTTGGTAACTTACAAACATTGGTTTTGTTTAATCCTCACAACATTCCTCAGGTGAAGATCTTATTATCCTCTCCCTTTCATGAATGAAGAAACTGAGGGCAGGAGATGCATTTACCTTGCTCAAGGTATCATGGCATCTGTGAAGGTAGATTCAGTCCTATATACCAATGGTTCTTAGATGCCAGCAGGTATCAGAATCAGATGTAATTCTCGTGAGAACACAGAATTTTAGGCTCATTTACAGAGTTGCTTGTGAATTTGGCTTGGGGTAGGGGGCTCACCTATTTCTAAAGAGTTCCCAGGTGATGCTGTTCCCACTAGTTCAGAGATCTCTCCTTGAGAACTCCTGTTCGGTATCATCCTGTATCTTTAGAAACAGGTTTAGTCCTTCACATTAATCTAACCCCATTAAAGGTATTCAGTATGCTTCTACAAATGTCCTCTGGGTTCTTGTGAAAGCCTTACCAGGGGTTTTGATCTCCAGCTCTGAAATTATTCTATTTGGTATTTGCAGTTGCCACCAAAGTCACTGAATATTTAATGGCTGAGGTCTTATTTTATGGAACATAGTTGGTGTCTAGGTTTATTTGTTTGAATTAGTCCTGGGTGAGGCCTCTTTCTGGTCAGTCCTGGCCTATCTAAAGCATACCACCTCAGGGAAGTCACAAGATTTTCAGGCATAAGAGCTTAAAGATGAAAATGCTGGATTTCGAAGCCCCAAGGCAAATACATGGTAGCAGACAAGTGTTGGGACTCAGCAAACAATACCCTAAAGTATTGAACTTGACCTAAGTTTTTGAACTGAAGAAACAAAGTCTCTCTTTGACCTTCCTGTGAGAATTTTAGAAGTCTCCAAGTTACATGTTCATATAACCTGTCTATAACCTTTCTTTGACCTTCTCTTGTTGTCCTTTCTTCTGTTTTCCTCTCTCCCTAAAGGTAGTCAAAGAAACTAAAAATCCACTTTCTAGATGCAGAACATAGAAATGAAAAACCCTCTTCCTTAAAGTCAGC